CGGACGCCGCCACCCGTCCCTGTGGGCCGGGGCCGGGCCGGGGCCTGGCGTGGGGTTGCTACTGAGCGGTTGTTAAAGTTGAACCCACAGAAACGGGCAAAGTGCATCTTGTAGGTTAAGAAAACCGCGCAAGTTCATCTGAGCTGTCACTCTTCCTCCTTTGGTCTTGTTTCAGTTGGTTAAACCAGCCTATTGCTGGTGGGGGGAGAAAACCTGGTGGATGCGCTCCCTATTTAGATCTGCCTTGAGAGAAAGCGTTGGAAATGTTGGTGTCTATGAGTTATCGGCAGTGAGTAATGGGTTTAAATTGGATTTGAGTGAGCAGCGAATGACTACACCATCTGGATACACCAAGAGGACTTTGTCAACTTGGCATCACTCAAAAACTTCCTACTTGCTGTGTATGAATGTCATCTAAGATTTCAGTGACGGAGAAATGAGGGCAACTTATTTTGCACTTAGCTTCTCTAGTCAGTTAGTTTTCCCTGCTTGGATCTTTCACACAGACAGAAGCATGTTAACACCAAAATAACACTTGATATTCACAAGAGGGTAAAAATAACAATGATATGAAAAATCACAGAGGGCAATAACAGTATCTGAAACTATTCATCTTTCTTTTTCTGAACTCTAGTTCATTTGATTCTGTTCTTTTAGTTTTGTGTAGCCCATTGAGAACAGACATGTAAAGATCTCTCATCTTACAATTGATTGGTAGCTTCTGTTTTTTCATTATTCCGTGCTTTTGGAGACTGTCCTTCTTTTGCTTGACAAAGCATTTTCCCCACCTCCTCAGAAATTTCAGTTCATTTGTTGGATACTCAATAAATACTGTTTTTATTTCCTGAACCTTGATCAGGAGATGCCCCTTGCTTTGCATATATTAGATTTTTTGGAAAACTTGAAGATGGGAATATTTGTTCAGGTTTTTAATTAACCTTGATCTTGGGATGAATCTTTATAAATGACCCCTCATCTTACATCTTGACAGCACTTTGCTCAGGAAGAGGTATTTGTAAACTTTTTTTTTCCTAAGGGGAGGTTTGGGTGTTTTCCAGTAAGATAATACATGTAGTGTTACTGGGGTGGAGAAACTGTAGCAATTTTGTGATTTTTCTCACTGCATATCTAAATCTATTCTACTCCTTTTCCTAATCTTGTTTTTTAAGATTATGTGTGGGTACTTTTAATTGCGATGCTAACAAGATAATTCACATAGTATGGAGAAAATACCTAACAAACTATTTTCTTAAAGATAAATTTAACTCTGACTACTCGTTAAGATCCTTCTCATGTATAATTTTTTGTTTAATTTAAATACATAACTTTTGCAGGTAGTAGTAGTGTTGTCTACAAGTATAGCTAGAGAGCATGTTTCAGAACTCTTATATGTGGATATTTTAGAAGATTTTTTTTTTTGTCAAGCTGCCTTTGATTATATAGTTTCTATCATCAGAATAGACACCTACCTTCAATACCTCTAGAATCTTTTTAACTACAAACCTTTTGGGGTTTAAATGTATTTAAATGTAATATAACATGTAAATTATTGTTTACATTCTTTAGAATTCATTAAATAAGATATAGCATATTGTGGGTGATCAGTGAGTTTTGTTTATTAGCTTCTTGTAAAGTAGTCAGTTAAAAGAGGAAAGATATACTCCCTGATTTGGAAAATAATTAGTGGAGTAAGGTAGCAATCACTCTCTCCCTCAACGCATACACTTTTTCAGTATTTTCATACTTTTCTGATCTGGTATTTATGTTTTAAGATATATTAGAACAGAAAGATCTAAGATTGGAATTGAGAGGTATCAAATGATGCTTTTTTCTGAGAATGATGAAAATGCAGTTGTTCAACCTGTTATGCTGTAAATGCTACTCCTTTTCCTGTTCCCTGTAAAAAAGAGTAACTTGATAATTTAAACAAATAGTGACTCAATGACATCCTGCAGCATCTGTGTTTAAATTTTCTTTGGATGGTTGCCAATTTGAAACAAACTGGTTGTCCAAAGTACTGAACTTTGAAAAGTGGCTGTTGCTAGATGCTTTAGGAAAGTGTTTTATCTTTCAGCCTGCAGTTTGTGGATTCCTATAAAAGATAACTAGGAGGAGAAAGCCTGTTTTGACTTGTTTAGTTATTTTTTTCCTGGAATTTACAACTAAAAAAAAATCCCCCAAACACTCTTGCTCTAGAAGACAGCAAATCTGAGTGATGCATTTTATGACAGTTTGTTAGACATATTTTCTGATCCCTGTTGGTAGTCAGTGTACCCTTAAAATCATGAAGATTGTTATTGGCTATAACTAGTTCGATCGAGACAGTGTAATTATGAATGCTGATACTTGTCATTAACATCTAGCCATGAAGGAAAATGAGCAATTACATTTGTTTTTCAGTGGTGATCACTTTCATGTTAACTGTATATGAAACTAAAAATAAAATTGTCTGACTCATTTTATCTCCTCTCCCCCCACCCCTCACCTTTTTCCAGAAGAGTGGTTGCACAAATATTTGCTATCTGATTGACTTTTTAAAAAAATTTATTTACTTTTTTGTTTGGTTGTTTTTTTTTAACTGATGAAGAAGGAGATATCAATGTTGCAATTGAGGTAATCTTTTGGGTCTGTACTATTTAGATTAGATGGACTATCTTTTTGTGTGTTTTAACTCAATATTCCTTCTCTTTCTTCCTCCTTTTACCTGTCCTTCTGTTAAGTATAAAAGCATATTTCTAATTAACAGAAATTATTTAAGCGCAAACAACACTGGATTTTTCTAGAGGGGAAAATGTATTGAAGTCAAACATGCTTTAGTGAGATCAATGCTTGCTTATTTAATAACTGAAGAGACCAGAAGAGTCACTTAGGCTGCTCAGTTTGTGCACTGGGAAGGTTTATCAGCATTCCTTAAACATTGTTTCAAACCTGTGTTTTAAGGCACATGGTGAATTAATCATTCTTGTTATGCACAGTATTGTTGCTCTACCTCAGAGTCTTTTCAAACTGAATAGCTAGTCTGATATATTTGTCCAGTAGCTATTTCCAGTGCAAGTTATTATTGCTAATAAAATTGATTGCTTTCTCTACTTCTAACTGCCAGGAGAAAAATATCAATTGTTTCATTCAAATAACACTTGGAGTGATGCAATACATCTTGCAGTATTATATTTAGTAATTTTACAGTGTTTTCAAGTGTACTGACTAATATTTTTACAAGGAAGAACAGGATACAAATGACTTTTTTAAAGAAAAAAATTATATTGGAATCTTTCATGAAATGTAGTCTTTTATTCTGGTAAGCACAGAGAAATGGATTATCTTGTTCTTAGCTGATGTGGGAATGCTGATGATCCCTGTTGTCTACCTCTCATTTTTGTCACTTTGGAGATCTGTGGTTCTTGGTTTTCAGGGAATCTGTGTAAGATGAGGAGGCTGTGTAATTCTCTGGGTACTCCTCTTGAGATGGGACAGCAGGAAAGCAGTCTGTGCAAAGGATGTATATGTTTCCATGCTTCTTTGCTTTATATATTGGCAATTTGTACATGAATGTGTATTATTTTTAATCTAGTGTGTCTTGGTTTTGTGCTTTACAACAGAAATGCGTCCCCCCACCCCTTTTGCTTGTTCCATTGAGGTTACCTCTGTTGCATGTGGCCCTATGGATGTCCACAGGGGCTCTGCAGCATGTGTCTGTTTGCTCCTTGGCTGAATTTTGCTTAAGCAAGAAACTGAGGCTTTGGGTGTTGGACCTGTACACCTACACATATGTGTGTGTGTACGCACACTCATGGTGTACGCACATGAAGTAATGGACTTGCAACCCAGCCAGCTGCTGCAGAAGCTGCAGCCTGAGTTAAGAAGGCAGCATTTTCAGGAGGCGACGTTTTACTTTTTGGCTCAGTATATGCCCTGTCCCCAACTGTAAATAAATGCACGTAACTGTTTCAAATGAACGAACAGATTTGAAATATTTACCAGTCCTGGCAGTCTGTGCACTCCCTGCTGAGGAAAGAGGAGAAACAGTTGTATCTTAATTTGAATCCAGCAACAGGATGTTTCAGAGGAGGCTTTGCTCTGGGTGCGTGTGCACGTTAAATGTAGGTGAGCTATTGAAGGGTTGAGTCCTGGTCTTGTAGTAAAATCAAGATCTCTGTTTCTTGCTAGCTGCCGACATTATCTTCTCCCCCTGCAATATGTCCTCCTGTATACCTTTTGAGAGTTGCTACCATTTTTAATTTTTAAATACAATACCAGCTGTGAATTGCATCCATAGGGAAAAATAAATTAATTTATTTAAGAGCATGCACCTTGTGAGACTGTACAATGTATTAATAGTAAATCCACCTATTTCATATTGAGTTAGTGTCTTGCAATGCATCAGTGTTTGCTGTCTGTTTGATTTTCTGTGCTATTGTTTCTGGCTTTTGTCTGCAGTAGTGCAAGAAGTAAAAAAGTTTATCTCAATTTGCGAGAAAGCAATTTGTATTACAGATTATGCTGAAGGCTCCCAGTGGAGTTTGAGGATTTGTTGAGCTAGGTGCAAATACATTCATTAAGACCAGATTTTCTCTTCTGACAGAACAGATACAGCCTATTTCAGAAAGAATTGCAACTGCCCTTTGTCCCCACTTTTTTCTTAAAATGTGCTGTTCCATAGAAACAACCCAAGGCTCAAAAGCAAGCAGTACCTGCTGGTTTGTCAAAGCAGGGTTACTTACTCTGTTAGTAAACAGATGGCGGACATCATTGCTAGGCCACTCTCCATCATCTTTGAAAGGTCATGGAGATCAGGAGAGGTGCCTGAGGACTGGAAGAAAGCCAATGTCACCCCAGTCTTCAAAAAGGGCAAGGAGGAGGAGCCAGGAAACTACAGGCCTGTCAGCCTCACCTCCATCCCTGGAAAGGTGATGGAACAGCTCCTCCTGGAGGTCCTCACTAAGCATGTGGAGGACAAGAAGGTGATCAGGAGTAGTCAGC